GCCAGCCCGCATCGGCAAAGAACCATGCGCTGTGGGCAGCCAGCCTGCACTTGCAAAGAACCGTTTTTGCGCAAATCAGGCCGCCGTGAAACATTTGAGGTACATCAGGCCTGTGCGAGATTCAGGTCCCTGCCTTTGCCCACCATTTTCGCCCTCGAACATACCTGAGTCTTGGGAACTTACAAGACTACTTTCTTGCAGGGTCACTCCTATATAGCTTGTATGATGTCGGGATTATGCATAAGAGCCTTATACAAAGGTGCATCCAAAGCTTCGCAAACACAAGTGCTTTGGAACAGGCGGCTGTGGCCCTGCTCCCAGCCATGGCAGGCCTGTTCTTGCAGTGGAAACAGCCATCGGGTGGAGAGCGCTTGATGTGGAGTGCAGGGTTTAGATTTTCGTGTTGATGGTACATATAAATAAAGTTTTGCAAACTTTCAACATTCAGAGTTTACGGTCCAGGATTTTGAGGCTTAGAGTTTTGGAGGTTTTTGCAGTTTGCGATTTTGAGCAGGATGATTGATTTGCAATTTTCGGGCTCGAGGGTGATTTTGTATTCGGGGACTTTTTTGTATTCGAGGTTCCAAGTTTCGGGACCCTGATCTAGAACAAAGCCTTGTGGCTGAGATACTTTGCAGTTCGGGTGACAGCAAGATCGAAGATTTCGGGTCGGAAACCTCGCGCAGGGTAAGAGGGCGAGCCCGGACGGTGGTCTGTGTATGAGCCTGTAGAAAATTCGGGAGTGTGACTCTTGGATTGATCCTGCTTTTCCCGGCAAGATGTCGCACTGGCGCCCGACGTGGTGAGCATCAATACAGTTCTCCACGCAGCTCGGCTCGTCTTGGGCGACACTGCTTTTGCAGGTCGAGACTAACATGAATAACCCTCTTGATTGAGGGCGGTTGTTTATGTCTTGAGTCTTGATCTTGTCTTGGGATATCCGTTGTTTTGGTTATAAGCCTTTCAGTCTTAGTGCCGGACAGCACCATGAATCTTCTCTTGCTGTGACTGTTTTGTGCCAGGTTGTTGCCGTTCCCGGCATCTGGTCTCGGGGGATCATCCAGCTCTCTGATCATCCTTCGCAGTAATCCATGTATGTAGTCATACTACAAAGAGCCCAGAACTCTTTTTTAGATATATAAACCCTTAGTTGACCCTTACCCTAAGCCCCAAACCCCACAACCACCCTAAACCCTAAACCCTAAACCCCAAACCCTAAACCCTAAACCCCTGAAGCCCTAACCCCTAAACCTTAAAAGTCCTAAAAACCAAAAAAAACAAGCCTATAAACCCTCAGCCCCCCACAACAACCAAAGGCCTACGAGCTGGCCCTGCGTTGGCCGGCAGCCCTGGGGCTTTTGCGCCAGAGCCAGGAGCAGCCCCGGTGGTCTTTATCGCAACAGAGAACTTCTTTTGCAAGAAATACTAACTGTAACAATAATGTTGAATATAACTCTATGAACATGAGTAAGAGTCAGAGCAGTATTCCTTAGAAGAAGTATACACAATAGGAAGAAACATATCTGGAGGAGTTTCAGGGGCTCAGGGACTTCTGGTCCTAGGTTGGTCGTGGATTTGGGGGGTCTTGGATCTTGACAGTTCAGGGTTTAGGGGTTCAGGGGTTGAGGGGTTTAGGGCTTAGGGTTGAGGGTTCAGGGTTTAGGGGTTCAGGGGTTGAGGGTTTAGTGTTGAGGGTTTAGGGTTTAGGATTTGGGGGGGTCTTGGATCTTGGTGTCTCCATGCTTTTTTTTGTCCGCTGTCAGCGGCCCCCAGGGCTCTTAAACCACATCCCACCAACACCCCCCAAGCATCCGAATAGCGTCCGAATGTATCGGTCTGAAATTACCAATGTTGGTCATAGTCGTTGGGGCCCCTAGTTAATCATATAATCACAATATGACATACCCCAAAGCCCTGTTCGAATACTAGGCCCCAAATCCCCCAAGATCCGTGCCTGGTTTGGGTTTGGATGTTGCTGATCTCTAAACAGAAGCGAAACAACCCTCAAGACGGCCTCGGCTGAAAGGCGTCTTCCTATGAGCCCGGGCTGGTCGCCTTCAACACGCCACTCAGCTTTTGCAAGCTTCCGGTGGCGATTTGGATAGATTCCAGTGTGAGGGGTCCAGTAGGATTTAGGGTTTGCGGCTCAGGGCCTAGAGGGTTCGGTTTTTGCGGAGTGTGAGTGCTACATTGCGGGGTTCCGGGCTCGAGAATACGGTCGCGAAGCCTTTCGCCTTAGCTGGAAAGGCATGTTGATCATGCCGCCAGTTACTACTGCTGCTGCTGCTAGCAGTCCTCCTTCCTGCTGCTATTGCTACTGCCCTGCTCTTGCTATTGCTACTGCTATTTCTGCTGCTGCTGCCGCCGCTACTGCTGCTACTCTTGTTGCTACTCCTGCTGCTGCTGCTGCTCATACTACTGCTACTACTACTACCACTACTACTACTACTACTACTACTACTACTACTACTACGATGATGATGATGACGACGGCGACTAGATCCAAAGCCGACTACTCCCTGTCTTTTGACTATCGCAGTTTCACAGAATCGCGGATCCCTCACACAGTACCCTATAGCACGACAGCACAGAGTCAGGCAAAACAAGTAAGTAAACTGTGCGTTTTTTATACGTCTTACACCGCATGCATCTACTAGTCAAGTTCTCGAACAGTATTTTGGATGGAAGCCATTGGTCAAGTGTTTGCTGAAAGATTTCAGTTGCAGAGGGGCATCGTTGCTAGGACGGAAAGATGCAGCTGCGGCCGGTCTTTCGACAGAACTGGCCGTCAATTATGATTGACAGTTTGCTCTTCGTCCCAAGGTAGCAATCGTAACAGGTAAGCCACATGCAGTCAGGCGGATAGGTCAGGAGACAACGCAGGCACGATTTCAGTGAGGATTTGCACTACTGAAACTGCACACCACCCTCAGCAGTGCTGGCAGTGTGCCATCGTATCATGCGCAGGAAAGTGTGTTGAAGGTTCAGCAGACAGTTCGATTTGCGCAAGTTCCCCTAAACCCTACTGGCGAACTCGTTATGAGGAAGACCCAGGCAAGGCACCCCAAATTTTCAGAAAGCTCAGCGCATCAGAGTCGTGGTTGCAGCCAAAGTTCGGGATCCCAGGACGGCGGCCGCTCTTGGGAAGTCAGCTCGCTGGGAGGCGTCGTTTGGTGATTTGCATTGTGTTTTTTGTAAGATTTTTAGGTTCTTAGCGGCTTCGGGCTTAGGGTTTGGGGTCAGAGTTAGGCTTAAGGCTTGGGGCTTTCGGATTTGGGCTTGTCATGTGTCCTGCATCATCCGGTTCAACGTGGCTGCGGATGTGGGATTTTCAGTCAAGGTGGTGTTGGCTTCGGAGACATGAAAGAAGATCAAACCCCCCAAAATGCAATCCCTGACCCCCGGAGCCATGAACCCCGAACCCTAAGCCTCGAACCAAAACCGCGAAAGTTCGAAGCCCTGATTTTTTCGGCCGGAAGCTTTTTCCTTCCTAAACCAAATATTGATGCACCTCGCGACGCACGCATCATCCGTATATTAGGGTCGGAGAGGTCTTACGATCAAACTAAAGTTTGGGCTTTCCAGATCTAGACCCTTTGTGCCTTTAGGCATTGCAATACACCTATATAACTTATATAACTCTACCATGATATACCCCAAAACCCCATTGAAACTTATAAAGGCCCGCTACATTACACGCTAAGCCTTCCTCGCGAGGCCGTCTTTGAGCTTTTCGACGAAGTGGAGGCAACCGGATTTTCGTCGAAGGTGACAGGTCACAAGGGTTTTCAACTGGCCTTTAATTTCTCAAGTTTGATTGGGTTTTGCAGGGTTTTGCAGGATTCTTGTCGGTTTGGGGTTCTAGATAGGGTTCTTGTATCGGTTCACGGGTTTGAGGATTTGGTCAAAATTCAGTGCGCAGGGCTCAGAGCTGAACTCGGAAATCGAAGGTAAGTACACAACGCGAAACAGCCCGGTTTACGATTGAAACCCTAAACCCTAAACCCTAAACCCTAAACCCTAAACACAACGCAAAACAGCCCGGCTTACGATTGAGTGCAGCTTGCAGGCGCTGCTTCTTCAGCCAAGCGAGGTGACCTACAATGCTGCTCGTCGACCCGGAACGTCATACTTGTACTAAGTCTTACGACGACAGGCGCCGATAGTGCTAGGTTTAGGCTGTACGGCCTAAGGTTTCAAAGCTTGGAGTTTGGAGTTTGGGGTTATAGTGTTACCAGTAGCAGCAGTAGGAGGAGCAGAAGGAGGAGGAGGAGTAGTAGCAGTTGTGGTAGGAATCGTCGTTGTCGTTGCAGCAGCAGCAGCTGTTATAAATCGTGGTACGATGACAAGCACCAGTGTGGCGTTCCAGCCCAAGTGCAGTAATCACGTTTACATGTTTCTATTAATGATAATTTTGCTGT